GTTTCGATAGCGACGTATGGAACCTTTAGTAATTTGATTGAGGTTTTTACCACATAGCAATTAAGTTTAGGACTTTCATTATTAGGGTTTCATGATTAGGAATTACTATAGGAATTTTAATTGTAAGGACTTTGGTCGTTGCATTGATTGGTTACGGCTTGCCGCCCAATCCTTGTTTGGGATATCTGGGCATCTAGACGTTTTTTCTGCAATAATAATAACAAATAAAGGTTATATCTCACGTTCCGTGCCTGATAGCCCACATCAACTACAGATTGAGTTGGACCGTTCTTAAAAAGGTGCAAACTACATGATTGAGTAGGATGCAAACATACAGATGCAAACTACACATTACAACTATACACATGCAAACTACAGATTGGGTAGGATCGTTCTTAAAAAGGTTCAGTTATCAAAGGTCAGAGACACTGGAGTCACACAAAATGGCCTACAGTGAAATTGAGGTGCATTTTTTGGGTTTATCTACTATGGCACTATGTGCTACTATTCCATGCTAATAATAAATTAAACGTCCAGCTTACATGATTAAACCGAATGAATATACGCGGAGCTAGCCTTAACCCTGCCGTGTAAACTGAAAGTACATTTTTCTGTAACCTTTTGTTTCATCCATAGGGCACCAGAAAACATTTTTCTTACCTTCAATTTCTTCAAGTTTGGCTTTGATATTTTCGTCGTCTTTCTTCCACTGTTTCATCAGCTCACGATAATGCTCTTCGATATCCGGATCCATGCAGTCGTACTCAAGATTGTCGATATCTTCTCGAAAGTGAGCTCCTCCCAGTCTCACCAATGCTTCTCGTATTTCCTGCCAATAAGAACCGAAGTTTATGTCATCCACAGAAGCTTGAGAGGCATGGCCGTATACGGTGTTTCTGTAAAACCGCACTCTGACGATGTCATCTGCGATGCTTATGTTTGCAGCTGGGGGAAGGCGATCCCATCCTGTGGCAGGAGGGCTCAAACCACAGATGTTTCTAAGCAGCACCGTTAGAAGTGTGATGTCGAAGGTTGCAGAGGACACGGGTGAGTGAGTAGGATACAGCTTCCCCCATTGCGTGGGATTGAGCACTTTGTTCCTCCCTCTATACAGTGATTGTAATGTGGCGTGATGCACAGATGTACTTCCCAAAACTGTCTGTAGAGTCGCTGGTGGATGTATATTATCAAAAGTGGACCGCAGCACTTGGGATCCAACATCAACCAGGAGGCGGCATAGCCTTGCATAGTTGGTAGTCTCTTTCGTAGACGCAAATGGCGCTAGAGCCGTAGCCATGAAACTGACTTCACCAGGATTGTCTGTCAAACATGAAATTGACATAAGCACTCTTAACCAAAAACCATTTAAAAACTCCTCATAGACAACTGAGACTGAATATAGCGTCAAATCGTGACTTCGTTATTGGCGACGTATTAGGGTTTTAATCAGAGATATTCGATTTTGCCGCAGAAGTTAAGCGACTTATAATCAACCAAACTGAAGTCGTAGTTCGTTTCAATAGTTGGCTAACCGACTGCAATTCATCACAATTTATATCCATTTGACGTATAATACATGCTTATAACAGTAAACTCTTCTGTCAGTAAAAAAAGAATACAAAAATCAATAGGAGAATAAATGCTTGACAATAAATAAATGAGACGGATAGTTCTTGTAACAATTCTGCTCAAAGGATGTCATACTACGATTTGATGTCTTATCTATGTCCTAAATACCCTGGAGCTTAGAATTAATTTATCAAGCTATAAAAAAATTTATGACATGGATTTTTATGATTTGTAGAAACATTTGGGGTGGTTTTATGGCTTTACCTCCATCCTAAAAGCAGCACTGCACTGATGAGGCCCAGCACGCCAAAACAGTTCTATCTGCTGTTAGATCTAGCTCTCTGGCACTACAAAGCTTTGCTTTCATGTCCAAATTGAGCACTCTATTAGGATGAGTCAGGTCATGCAATTACACATTGCTCACTAGTTACTAGTTAGAGCACTCTGACATGGCTTAGATGATACCACAAATGATGTATCACACGCGGCGGCTATGCGGCTTTACCTCCATCATCAGCATATTTATTATACACCACCACTCTCACAAGTACATCAAGTAAACATGTATAATAAGCATCACAAAAGCATCTTTTTGGTGGAGATTTATCAGTACCAGTAAAAAGCAAGTATAATTTTTACAGGTTCACCACCAGCACCTGCAGTTTCACGAACAGACCCTGTGAAACTGTACCAATACCACCACCATAGATAACACTACCTATGGTTGCCAATATTTGCACAAAATCACAATGGTAACAAGTACATGTAATTGCTAAGGGGTACCTTGAAAGACTAGTTTAAGGATCAACTTGGCAACACCTATGATGGAAAGCTTGGATGTATCAATTTCAAAAGACAATTATGGCCACACCCAGTAACCTTAATCTATTTAGTGGTACATGTCATGTACTTCCTCATCTTCGTGTTTAAAGCAGGGAACTCATTATGACTTAGTCTAAATTTCTTAACCAGTGACCAAAGACATATGACTCAGGCTTGAGCCTCTGGAGTTTTTAATGTCCAATTGCTTTAATTACAAATATTGGCCAAAACATCCCTTAAGTCAACATACTGTTAAAGGTGCTCTGCAAACCTGTACTGTTGCAGTAAATTTTTGTTTCCAGTGGATTTAATTATTTCACCAGTTAGTTTTTCCTAGCCAAGCAGGTACCTGAGTTTTTTTTTTTTT